TGGCAGAAAGTGGCATCCTATATCCAAGGGTGTTGAATGTCAAATTTTTCCTTAAAGCATCATCATTAATTTCAGTTTCTGATGACTATTTACTTGAAGGCTGTTTTGTAAAGAAAATTTAAAAAAATCTAAGTGTCAAACATGTAAGATCATACATGGCCATAGAAATGCGGTCTGGAGAGGCCAAAGAGAACTGTTGCAAGTCATATCACAAGGCCACATGGCCAACTTAAGACAAATGATCTAAATTAGTAAGAATGCTGCATTGAGAAAGGACAAGGCTATAAACTTTAATAAACATATCTACCTTATACCCAGCTTCCTATTTAAATGATCTATATTAGAAAATATGGTTTTTAGAAAATAAAGAGAGTGGGACTTAGTAATTACTTCAAAGTATAAATAAATTCACTTTATTTTCTCTATTTGAAAAGATATTTAGAACTCTAGATTAATAAAAAGCAATGCATAGATTAAAATAAAATTGGGTGAGATGACTACGAAATTGGATTTAAATGCTATGAATAGATTTAAAAAATGTTGTTTCTGTTGATTAAATCTTAATTAAAGATTGAGGAATTATGTCCAGAAGAATTTCCTTAATTATTGTGAAGCTCCAGATCACTGTGACTGGCAAGTTAATTAGCAATTTAGGATACATAATTTGACATTGTCAGAAAATCCAAAAATTATAGGTGTTAAGTTCACTTATGTTCAATAATGGGAAAATAATTAAAAAATGGACAATATCCATAAAAGAAAATTACAAAAGAAACTACCTAATCCATGAGAACATCTTTTTGTATTGTGAATTCTATCTGAAATATCGAGTCATTTTTGTATGCATGTAGGAAAAATAAATCTAACATATTCTGTTGTAGTCCTCTCAAAGTATACAACAATAATGATCTCTTTGAGGTGCATTCTTATTGAAACTGAGATTTTTAATCTATAATTCCAAACATACTATTATTAGTCACAAGCTCATGAGATGTTAGTAAAAAGGTTTAGAACAATTATAAAGTAAAAGTTAGTTCTGTTAACCCATATCAAGAATAAACCTTGCCCTGGCTGGTGTAGCTCAGTGGATTGAATGTCGACTGCAAACCAAAGGGTTTCTGGTTTGATTCCCAGTCAGGGCACATGCCTGGGTTGCAGACCAGGTCCCCAGTGGGGGCTACATGAAAGGCAATCACACACTGATATTTCTTTCCCTCTCTTTCTCCCTCCTTTCCCCTCTCTCTAAAAGTAAATAAATAAAACCTTTAAAAAAGAATAAACCTAGATCAGAAAATAAAACTTTTTAATGAAAATATAACAGATGTAGAAAGTTTAGCATAGCATGAAGGACAAGTAACTTAGCGTGTGAGCATAAAAAAATATCAGAAAGAGGGAAGGAAATCCCTTTTTTATATTATTAAAGTGCACTGAGTTTTTAATGCAGTATTGTCAGCTGTAACAACCTCTTTGGACATAAAGATCAGAAACTTATCTGTATACTATATTCTGGTATAATCAATTAAAAGAATAAAATAATGCCAAAATTTAATTTACTTCAAGAGAACAATTTGTACTGAACTACAAATTTTACTTAGAATTGCATTTATTTTTGGTGGCTGTGTTAATATTTAAGATTACTCTGCTGGAAAGCTATGAGGTGGGTCTTTATGTCTTCAGAACTCTCTATGGCTATATCAAATAATCATTTCAAAAGCTTTTTTCACTTACACAATCAAGCAAACATTCCATTGTACATATGTAGAAATTATAGGTGTGGCAAGGGTTGCTCAGTCATTATAATCAGTGGGTGATTGTTGGACAATTTTCAGAATCTCTACATCCACAAACCTAGCTTTTGATAAAAATCAAGATTGGAATGCTACATAACTTGGCATAGATACTAGTATAAGAATCTGAAGGTGGGGACAGTCTCCAATTTTCTTTCCCCATCATATGTCCCACACGTACCAGCAACATCCTTCAAATCAGTGACATATCATTTCAAATACACAGCAGATCAGTTAAGGTTGAAAAAGACCTCAGGATACAAGTCTAATGGTTTACAAACTTTCTTTTTTTCTCCTAAGAAAATTTATAAAGTCCTCTAAACATGAAAGGCATTATAAAGTCCTCTAAACATTAAAGTAGAGCACCTTGGGTTAAAAGAGGCCCAGGGTACAGAGCAAAAGGTAAAGTTTGCCACCGCTGCCATACTGGCTCTGAGTAGGGTTTTATATAGAGGTGTGTGTATGTTTTTACAGATGTATATACATATAGGCATGAGTACATATGCATACATGTGTATGCATGTTTACATGTGTATATGTAAAAGTATACATATGTATGTGTATGTCTCTGTGTGTGTACGTGCAATCTTCTTTTAAGTTTCCCAGCATGACTAATTTATTTCCATATTTAAGAGAAAAGAAATTTCTAAAAAAGAAATCAGAATGCTCCCCAAATGATGTAATTAGGCCAGCATAACCCTTATATCAATATCTGAAGAAGACATTAAAAAATAGATATCAATCCCTCAAACAATACTTCATCTTTAAGTTCAGCAAGTGGAAACAAGCAGTATATAAAATTTTTATTCATCATGACCAAATGAAGTTCATCCCTGAAATGTACACATAATTTTGTATCTGAAAGTCAATTGACATAATTTACCAAGTTAAAAAATTAGAGTGAGAAATCACATGGTCATCTGAAAAGATGCATTAAAAACATTTAGCAAATTCACTATCCACTTATGCAAAGACTATCAGTGTATTAGGAATAGAATGGATTCTTTAACCTGACAAAACCCAGCTATGGAAAACATTCAGTTAGCATAATATTTATTGGTGAAATACAGAACAATTTCCTCCTATGTTTCAGGGCAAGACAGTTATATTCAACATTTTATTGGAAGCCCTAGCCAGTGCACTTATTAAGAAAATAAAGTAAAAACATAAAAATTGGAAAGGAAGAATTAAAACTATCTCTGGTTGCAAAAGATATGATTACATAGAAAATCATAGAAAATATATTAAAACTTTTCCAGAATGTCTAAGTAAATTTTTCAAGAATATGATTTTAAAGGCTAATTTAAAAATCAAGTGCACTTCTATGTATTATTGATAAACATTTGGAAAATGTTATTTTAAATGAAATTTTCCAAAGTAACTCTGGAATAAACATGAGAAAATATTTGCAAGACCAAAGAGAAAATATTTGCAAGGCTGAAAAGAAAACATTGCTAAAGAAATTGAAGAGGCCTAAATAAAATATGATATACCATGAACATTAATTGGATAAAATGAACAAAAGACCTACACAGACTGAAAGTGAGGGGTTGGAAAAATATTCCTAGAAAGTAGCAGGAAGAAAAAGCTGGTGTTGCAATACTTATATCAGACAAAATAGACTTTAAAACAAAGGCCAAAAAAAGAGACACACAAGGACATTTCATAAACTGAAGGGAAGAAATTATCAAGAAGATATAAACATTATCAGCATATACCCACCCAACACAGCAGCACCTAAATATATAAGGGAAATCTTGGAGGACTTCAAGAAAGCTATAGACAGCCACACACTTATACTAGGAGGCTTTAATACCCCACTGTCAAAAATGGATAGGTCTTCCAAGCAAAATATCAACAGGAATATTGTGGCATTGAACAATGCCCTAGATCAAATGGACTTAACTAATGTTTATAGAATCCTCACCCCAAAGAAGCAAGACACACATTCTTTTCAAATGCTCATGGAACATTTTCACAGATAGAATACACGACAGGACAAAAACTAAGCCTCAACAAATCCAAGAAAATTGAAAACATATCAAGAATTTTCTTAGACCACAAGAGCCTGAAATTAGAAACCAACCTCAAAGAAAAAAACTAAAAAACATTCAAATTCATGGAGATTGAATAGCATGTTATTAAACAACGAATGGGTTAATAATATCAAGGAAGAAATAAAAAAGTTTCTGGAAACAGATGAAAATGGACACACAACAGTCCATAATCTGTGGAACACAGCAAAGTCAGTCCTGAGAGGGGAGTTCAAAGCGATACAGGCCTACCAAAAAAATAGAAACATTTCAAATAAACAGCTTAACCCTCATCTATGAGAACTGGAGGAGCGACAACAAATAAATCCCAGAGCAAGTAGAAGGAAGGAAATAACCAAGATCAAAGCAGAATTAAATGACGTAGAGACTAAAACAACAATCCAAAGGATCGATACAACCAGGAACTGGATCTCTGAAAAAAACAAAATCCACAAGCCTTTAAGCAAACTCATCAAGAAAAAAAAGAAAAGACCCAAATAAATAAAATCAGAAAAGAAAAAGAAGAGATTACAATGGATACAATACAGATACAAAGGATTGTGAGAAATTACTATGAAGAACTATATGTCAAGAAATTTGAAAACCTGGGTGAAATGGGCACATTTCTAGAAGAATATAACCTTCCAAAACTGAATCAAGAAGAAGCAGAAAGCCTGAACAGACAAATAACAGCTGGTGAAATCAAAGCAGTAATCAAAAAACTTCTGGCACATGGAGGCCCTGGACCAGACGGTTTCTTGGAGAATTTGACAAAACATTTAGGGTAGAGCTAACCCCTATTTTTCAAAGACTATTCCCCCAAATCCAAGAAGTGGAACCTAATCAACAAAAGAAACAAGCAAGCAAAATATAGCCAGAGACATTGAAATAACAAATAAACTGTCAGTAACCAGAGGGTATGCAGGAGAGGAATAATGGGGGAAAGTAGGGGAAGGACCATCAACGAACATGTATAAAGGACACATACATGGACAAAGCCAAAGAGGGTTGAATCGAGGGTAGGAGGTGGGCATGGGTGGGGAGGAGGGAAGTGGTGAGGGTGAAATGGGGACAACTGTACTTGAACAACAATAAAAAAAGAAAGAGTTCAAAAACAAAAATAAATAAATAAAGAAAATACTTCTTGAAAAATTAAGAAAAAAAGTATAATGTCACGTACCTGCTGCGTCACTGCGGCGGCTAACCTGCCCCCAGCACTGTCTCCTGAAACACATATTCGGGTGGGATCCACTCCATATTTCATAAGAATTTTATCTTGAAGAAAAAACTTGACTACAGCGATGCTGTCTTCAAACTGAGCTGGAGAGCGGTGTTGGGGAGCTAGTCTATAGCTTTAAAAAAAATTTAAACAGTTTAATAATGTACCGTTGTGGTTCTATGTGTCTATGTAGATTAACGTACCAAACAGATGCAATTTAACACCATGCTTTATTGCTCAATCTTCCAAAAATCAAACCTGAGTTTTTTAGTATATGAAAAAATAAAAACTTATATAAAGTTTTCAACCTCATATCTCAGGTACATGGATGGCATTGCACATGAGGGGTAAGGGAAGTGTTATAAACTGCCTGATACTGCAACCATAAATTTTAGCCCTTTTTGGATTGATGATACTCTATAGCTTACATCAAATTCTCAATGTAATTGGCGATCTAAACTTTAAAAAAATATTCATAAAGCACCATCAATGTTTAAAGGCAGAAGATCTGAAACATATTCTAGGCAATGTCCTATTTTTCAAAGTCCTTTATTCAATAGATAAAAGTTCTACACTCTGTAATGCACATAACTCATCATGGATAATGCCCAGGATTTGAATCTAGATAAAAACTTTGAAATAAAAAAATAACATTTAAATATACTAGAAATCTTGCTGGTTTAAGATAAATACATTTAGAAGGTACAGCATCGGCAAATTCTTTTAATAGATACAAATAGATATTTCCTCATACAAGTGGGCAAGCAAAAATAAGAGAACACCTCTACAGAACACTTCTCAGAGCTAACTTTTTTTTTGTTCTTTAGAATGTGAAACTTTGTAAATATCTTCACTTAATATTAAATGTTGGCCAGATCATCCTTTGAGGACTACTTAATGTTATAATGGTGAGAAATAAAATACATTAGCTTAAACACATTATATTTGAGGCATAGCTGACTTGCTTTTGTAATCAAACCTCTACTTTCTAAAAGCAAAAATCATAGTAGCCAAAGAAAATCATTCCCTTACTCCGCTGCTACAACAACGGCATCAAGTTTTTTTGCTGTCTCTCTGTTGAGGAAGTCAAAACCCGTGTGCTCTGAAATGAAGAAACACATGTTAAAGTACTTCTTGTAATGAAGAAGCAACAGAAAAGTTATAGCTATAAACTGGGGGGGAAATGTGATTTGAGTCTTACAAGCAACCTCTGTCCCCTCCCTGTTTTCATGCAGAAGGATCTGAATTGACATGACACTTTCTACAAGAGTGTGACTTCAGTCACTCCCTCCAATTATCCGCTGGTGCTTTGGGAAGTTGCAGTACACGCAGCCCATTCTAATTTTCTCTTGTTATTTGCTGTCTACACATAATGATCCTCCCAAGAACCTGCCATGGCTTGGCGCTCTGCTCCTCAGGGCAGTGATTTTCAGAGGCAGGAGGTGTGTTCTTGCTCAGCAGGGCCAGCCACTGCAGCTGGGTTAATCTCCCGGACTCAACAACATCTAAACCCACATTCTCTAAGCTTCACTAGAAATAGATGTTATGTTTTGACTTTCATTACCTGAATTCTGTGTATAACTTAGAACTCAGATAAACAACAACATACTGGATGTGTTGACTGTCTAAAACTGTAACACTCAGTAATGTGTTTCCTTAAAACCTTCATTTTCTCCAAATACATCACATAATGACGTGGCTCAATAACCTTGGCTTTTAATAATGGGTCTAAGGGAAAGCAACTAGATTTCGAGAGATGCTCTGGCAAGTCAGTGTGTGGACTTAGATGTACATATTGGTTTTGGTATGCTTGGCATTCAAGTCATCTCCTCTCCCATGAACACACACACCCCCCACAGCTATCTCCATGTACCCACAAATCCAACTTACCAGTGCCCTGACCATATCACTTTGGCAAATCTGTGACATTACTTTATTTATCACAAGATTCTAGAAATACAGATAATTCTAGAGTTGTGATTAAATTCCAAACTATTTGAAGGAATCTGCTACACATTATCAAAATTTCAAATTAAATACTGGGTATGTAACAACCTTGAAATCAGAAAAGCAAATCACCTAGCACTGTAGGAAGAAAAATAATGTTTTCATTAAAGATGGAAGTGATAAGTATTGAGAAAAGGCAATGTACAGATGAGGACCAAAGTGTACAAAACACAAGCACCTTCAGACACTTGCACTTGAAGTCCCTTAATGATGTATTTCAAACATGTTTTTATTTCTATCTCCCAAGGCTTTTTTGTCCTTACAGTAAGCCAATTTAAATTTTTGTTTTCCATTCTGTATCTTAAACTGTCCCAATGCACACAATATTGGCTGATATCAGTTGTCAGATCATTTTTCCTCTTCCCTATGGCCATTTTGAATTTATAGCAACTTTAGGACCAGTTAGAAACAAGACAACATGAGGATAAATGTTGAAAACCAAGCACAGAAGTATGTAAAAAGTCTACTAGAGTATTTTTAAAAAGTATTTCTTAATTCTTAAAGCAACTTTGGCAAATTTTAATTAAAAAATAGAAAGCCTAGAGAAAAAAAAGGAAAATCAACATTTGTAAGTACCAGAAAAGAGTTCTGTGTGCATTCTGATTTTTCAAAAAACATAATGTATCTAAGTCATTTATAGTTTGCCTATATGAATTTTGGGAGATCCAAAAACAAATAATATGCACATATAAAATAAAGACAGAAAAATGAATCAACTGGAATTTGGCTGAGAAGAATGTTGGACTGTTATTTTTTGAATAATAATAATTCTCACATTTTTAGAAGTTATTGATCACAATTACTACCCTTGACAAGGAAAGGGAAATCAACCTAATAACGAGGAATACTTCTAAGTATTTTTCAAATTTCAAATTCCAGTGTGATATCGTCCCCTCTGTGGGCATTTATCTTCTCTTAGGGAATCCTGAATAATAGGAATATGAACACTTGGGTATTTCGCAGACCTTATCAAAACTTTTGCAGAATTAATTTTTCTCTTTGGAGTCAAATGAAGATAACTTGGCATTTAATATATTTAAAAGGACGCAAAATATTTTGACCATCTTAATGCCCAATATAAATTGAATTATAGATAAAATCTAATTTACTGAAAACATTAAGGAGATGAAAAAGGCATAAGAGAAAAGTACTGGGAAAAATTTTGGATAATAACAGAAGTCCATTCAATCATTCAATTTTTTGTTCCCCAGAGACATGTGTTGAATATTTACTGTATGGGGAGTGCTTTGTTAGATGCTAAGAGATGATGCCACCTACAGGCAGATACTAAAACAAGCATGAAACAACAAGAATTGTCCCTATCAAGCTTATACAAGCTGCAGTGGACATACAGGGAGATTGCTAAAATATTTTAGAACCAGGGGAGCGTTCACACACACACACATGCATACACACACCCACATATAGGCACACGCACGCATGCTCAGAATTTAGGTAAGGTGAAATGTGAAAGTGTACCTTACCTAAATACGGAAAGATGAAAGAGTTTTCTAGAGGTAAGATCTGAAAGACACTCTAGGAACACACAGCCATGAAGACAGATGAGTGTTGGGGGCTGGGATAAGCCTGAAACAGGCTGATACAATCAGACCTGAGAGATACGCCTTGAATAACAGGATGCTGCGGTTAGGAGCCATAGAACTCCCCCTCCTGGACATGCGGGTGGCACACCAATCAGTGCCTTGATCACGCGCCCGCCATGCACCCCCCGGCCAATCACAGGCTAGAGCACGCCTTGAAGCCACCTAGCCACTGCACTTCCTCCACTGCCCTCCTCTATATAACTCCCTCCATTTTGAAATAAAATTTGCAGCTTGATCAGAATCCTTTGTCTTGCTGCCATTCTTCGCGCCTCCTGTCCCATCCCCCTTCATCCGTTACAGGTATATCGGCGGATCCCGTTGACTGCCTCGCGGGCCGAGGCAGATGAGGCTGCATGGAGTGTGTGGGGAACTAAAAGCAGCTCAGTGGAGTAGAAATAGAATTAGGAGGGAAGCATTGCATTGTCAGGGACAAGCAGGTCAAAGAATGTAAGAACATAGGAATCTGAGCACTATGCTAAGGGGTTTAGATCTATTTCATTAAATGGTGAAAGCCCCTTAAAATTGAAACAAAGAAATCATATAATCAGGTTTGCATGTTAGAGAGGTCCAGAGTACTAAATGTAGAAGATGAAATAAAGTTGAATAAAGGAAAGGCAGAGACATCAGAAAGGAGCATCTGTAAAAGATCACGGAGCACTAACTTGTGTCAATGAGGTCGATATATTCAAAAAGGGAATGTATGGGATGTTGTAATTTAACGTGAGCATTAAGGGACTGTAAAGAATTGACAATAATTGCTGTTTAGTAGATCCAGACTGGTTGTCAGTAGCATGGGGGTATTTGGAGAATTAGGAAAGAGAGTATGTAGAGTTGAAACTGGAAGGTAGAGATTAAATTCTGGGGGACAAGAATACTCACAAGGAGTAAATATAGACAACCAGTCTTTTTTGTTTGTTTGTTTTTGAAATGAGAGATGGAAAAGTGGGATTGAGAAAACAGTGAATGGCAGAGAAAATGTAGGAGGTGATTTGTCACAGAAAACAACAGGAGGACCAGTGAACATCGGGAAGGAGGAAAGAGTGGTTGTCATCAATGCAGTAAATTATAGAGCTTGAGGAACTAATTAAAGGGGGGGGACAAGGAAATAAGGGAGGACAAGAGCTTATCATGCATAGAAAGTAATCTGAAAAGGAAAGGAAAATGAAAAAGGACTGGAAAGAGGAATTCACGGTCAAGTGGGAACATTTTTTAAAGGTAAAAATGACTATAAAATACTTAGGAGGATTCATTTAAAAATTAAAAACAAACAAAAACATTAAGTCAGAGGATATATATATATATATATATATATATATGCCAAATAATAGGGTAAGAGCCCTGTGATATAAAGGAAAGGTAGAAAGACTAGTTTCATCAAAGGGGTTAAGCCTCTTCTGAGAGTAGTAGAAAGAAGTAAGCTAAAAATTGGGTCTGGTTGATAAGAAATATACAGAAAGGGTAATTGACTAGTGATCAAGGGTTCAGAAGTTTGAGGATATGCACTCCCTTGTGTCCTCTATTTCCTCTGAAATAGCAGTAAGTTTGATCTCTGGCTAACTGGAGGAGCTGGTATTGCCAGTGAAATCAAGCCCTTCCACGGGATCATGAAAAAAGCATTCCGGGGACCCACACATGGGAGATTGTGATGTGTAAAGTTTATTCAGGTGGAAATAGAAGCGCCCCCCTGGGTTTCCAATTTCCCATCTGTTTCCACCCCACCACGGAAAAAGTCCAACTATGTCCTCAGCAAGGCCAAAAAAAAAAAAGCCACTGTTCCGAGTTTCTGCCTCATATTAAAGCCCAGTCCTTTGGACCCCACACAGTCTGCTGGCCCTGGTAGCTGCTAGACCCTCACGGTTGTGTGGTCCTAGGCGAGAAGTTGCACAATACACAGGACAGGTGTGGGCCACCAAGGTGGGAAGAGAGAGAGAGTGTGTATTTTTGTTCTCCTGGCATTATATTAGCATGCATTGGGGATGGACTAAGTGCCTTTTAAAAATAGCCTATCACTTCCTAAGCTTTTGCGAGCTTTTTGATGGAAGGCCCTAATTATACTAACAGGCCTCTATGGTCAAGAGCCTCCTCCTGTGGCCTCCAGTGATCCTGTACCAGGAGGGAGAGGGGAGGAGCGTTAATCTTGGAGCAATGCTATAATCCCCTGCATGTGAAACTATAACTTCATGGTCAAGCAAACAGGCTCATGCTTCCTAGTTTATCAAACTTAAAGTCTAATTCCCTTTGGGGGCTTATTAGTAACTAGTTAACTACCTATGGTAACATGAAGAGACCTGGAGTGACACAGACTCAGAAGAGTCACTGACAAAAAGAGAGACAGAACTGATGAACTACATGGGACAGGATGTCTGAGTCACAGCAGGACACTAGGTGGCAGTGGTTCCCAGTGTAGTGTGGTGTCTAGATCAGTAGCATCAGCATTGAAAAACAAATTCTAAGGCCCCCCATTGACTTACTTACTTCATAAAAATTCTGCAGGTGAGGCCCAACAATCTTTTAACAAGCCTTCTAGCTGATTCTGAGGCATTGAAGTTAGAGTACCACTGTCTTAAGGTTTTATATCTTACTAGCAGTAGAAAACGACCATTGTTCCCTTCCTTGTCACAGTGTTTTTGAATTGACTTTTTCAGGTTTGTTCAAAATCTTTAAGAAAACAATTTTTCTAGTATTTCCCAAGGATATACAGAACACCTGTCTCACTGGCTATTACAAAAGTCACCTCTGAATCACATCCCAACAGATTCTTTACCTTTTATTTCATCCTATTACTTGCTACTAAAATTGCTTTTACTTATATTTCTATAGCTATGCTCCCAGCATATATTTACAAGGAGGATCATAAAAATCAATATATGTTCCTCATATAATAGAAAGTCTTTTTCTAGGATGAAAAAACTGAACTTCTCATCTCATTTTGGAAATCACTTAGTTTGGTGTTGTGTTTGGTTTCCACTATGTAGACTGTGAAAGGAATAAAACAAGCATGAGCGAGGGTCCCTGTTTCCTTGGGCCTTCTACATTTCCCTCCATATTTTTCCTGCATTGATACCATATTCCCTACCTTGTAAACACTGAGTAGTTAACAAAACATAAGGTTTGCAAAAGCAATACACTCTGTTGGTTTTCGTGATTCTACCAAAGCAAGCATAGGACATGAACACATACATGCCTGATCCTCGACCAGTAGTTTTTGTTAGAATTGAATGATACTGCTTGAGCTGAAACAAAGGCACACACTTGACTTTTCCCAGCCTATTAAAAAAATCCCTCCACGGGGAAGCCATGTGGTCTTTAACTGCTTCCTGAAGCTCAACTGAATAAAGTCTATCCTCTATTTGAGTCATCTAAATTATTTGATTTTGACAAGTCACTGTAAATTTTGGAATTGATTATGGTTCCCCCCTCAATATGTTAGTTATCAAAAAGCTGGAGAGAAGAAAACTAGAAAGCCAAAACTGTAGCTTAACAATTTTAGCATTTTGCATATTAATCAAAGCCTTTGAGCTTCATTAATTTTTCATGCTTATTTTCTCTTTGATTAATTCTCATTGCTAATATTTGGTTAAGTGTTGCTTAATATATTGCTTATATGTTAAGATTCTAAAACTACTTTGAATCAAGTGAGGATGAAAGAGAAAAGGTGAAAAATTCATTTATGAGCTATTTATTTTTCCTCTATTCTGTTCATTTGTTTAATGTTATTATTTTAATTAAATAGAAAACAGCCCCGCTAAAATACTACTACCAATCTGTGATTTTTCCAAAGTTTTCAAAAAGGTAAATTTGTTTATGTATTTGTTCTGAATCTTCAATAGTTGCCTCTTAGAATCATCGCCGGACATAAGTCGGGACACTGGACTTCATGAGAAGAGTTTATTATTACAAAGTTCTATTTTGTATGTTTCTTTAATAATTGAGCCAACAAAAGCCTATTTATAGGCTTTTCTATAGTTAGCATTATTGTTAATAGCAACCACAAACTATTCTTGTAGCAACCAACAGCTTTTGCTTTTGATTTACAGTTTAAAACATCTGCACCACTTCAGTGTTTCTGTTCCTGAATATAATTTGATCCCAAAGATAAGAAGTTTACTAATTGACTTGCTCATGTCCTACTCACTTGATATAAGTTCTTTCAATAACAAAAAAAAAGCTGAGAAGAAAATGCTTACCAAAACCCAAAACAGAACAAAATGGAAATACCAATCTCTGTGATATATTTTGTTAGGCATGTCTGTCTCTCTATTAGATACTTCAAATTTAAAGCTATATTTACATATAGCATATGAGTACATATATAAGTATGTATACATGCATGTGCACATAAATATGTATATTTATATAAGATAGTTCTTATAGTAAAAACATATAGACAGTTACACTTTTTACTTATATGATGAACTTACTGAAACTTCCAAAACAATAAGCACCACCATGAAGATAGATTACCGCTCGTCTTGGGGTTTCTGACTTTCTCTTTGGCAAGTACAAACGTACTGGAACATCAGCAAATGCTGTATCCGTCACTGTGATATGTTCATCTGAAAGTGGCTGGGTATGATCCAGCCTGAATATCATGGAAATAAACTCTTCATATTTCATAATACCTATATGTTCAAAACATATACCCTGTGAGAACAAAAATAAACATTTTCACCTTTAAAAAATATCAAATGCATAAAAAAGGAAAATGAAAACATAAGCAAAATAAACAGAAATAGAATGCTTATAAAATTATTTTCAAATAATGCTCCATAGCTCTTACTGAATAACTTTATTGCCTTTAATATCTCAAGAATTATGTTTTTGATAAATAGCTATCTCATTCAAAAGTTGCAATTTACTGACAATTTATATTATGTCTGTCATAATTATTACTTAATTGTAAATTCTTATCTGAAAAATTTTGAGGTCTTATAACATCTTTCTTCTTTTCTTTCTTTCTTTTTCTTTTTCTTTTCTTTCTCTTTCTACTCTCATCTTTTCTTTTTTGTTATTTTTAATTTTATTTGATCCAAAATTTTAACTGTCATTTTATGACTACTCTACTAATGATTCAAGTGTCCTGGTTTTCAATTACAAATAGATTCCTGTTTACTTCCCTTCCATTCTTTCAGTTCCCAAATCCCATATTTGATTAATATCACTGGGAAAAAAGCTTCTCATTGGTTTTGAAACCAGAAGCTGGTTTCTGACTAGCTTTTCCTAGACCCTTGTGACATGTCACTTGACAATTTATTCAAAGGAAAAACCTTTAAAAATACATTGCCAATAGTACATAAAGCAGCCTTTAGCACTACAATTATTCCAAAGAGTTTAAGGTACTATAAGGTCTTAGAGAATATCTAATCCCTATACTTTAATGATGAAGAAGCATACCGAAACTATAAATTGCAGTCAGTAATCTATAACAAACTATAAACTACAGTCAGTAAATAATGAAATTCAATTGGAATCTATTTTTCTAGACCAACTTCTTACCATGTCTATGACCTAAGCAAATTACTCTGTATACTTCAATATCTTTGATCTGTAAAACTGTAGTAATAACAACAACAATTAAATTTCTCAGTAAATTTTAGAAAGTTTTAAATCAATTAGGACTTTCGATTCGCTGGAGAAGAGTGCCTGGCCCAAAACATCTTGTTTTACTGTTTTTTAAGTATTCCTCACAAAGATGAATTTTTAATAAAGTCACATAAAAGTCCCTTAAAGCAAGTTTTTGGTAAATGGTTAAATTAGGTTAATTTTCATTTGGTGAATTGGCTTTTAAAAAATTAGATATTTGGCAAAATGTCTTGTTTTTATTTTCTAAGTAATTCCTCGGTTTTTAATGCATACTTATGTATTTATGGAACAATAACAAAATCTACCATTTTAGAGATTATTTTGTGCTCTTCTAGCATACAAGGTCTCTAATTCTCAGATCAGTGCTGCAAAGTATTTATTATTAGTATCTTCTTTTTAACAATAAAAATTGCATGAAGAATTAAGGAAGTTTTTTAGGATTGGGCGTGTTTCTACCAAACTCTGTCTTCTAATTTAATGTATTAGTACATTGTAATGTGTTTAAGGCCATTTTACCAAGAACTTAAATTTTTACTTCCATATCATATATTAAAAATATTAATTTTCTTACTGGTAGAACATTGAGCTACAAAATTTAATATTAACAACAATAAAATTTCCCTACAACAGCTAGATTGCTAATTTTACTAGAATAATCTTTAAAGTAATTATATATGTGGGACTTCCACCAAGATGGCGGCATAGGTGGAAACACTTTACCTTATCGCACAACCAAATCTAAAAACAACAAAGTTTTAGCAATAATAAACGTAGCCAAGCTACAGAAAATTAAACAATACAGCCATGAGTGGAAAACTTGTTTGAACAAATAATAAAGGAGAATTTCCCCAATCTGACAAAGGAAATAGACTTCAGGAAATCCAGGAAGCTCAGAGAGTCCCAAAGAAGTTGGACCCAAGAAGGAACACATTAAGGCACATCATAATTACATTAGCCAAGATTAAAATGAAGGAGAGAATCCTGGAAGCAGCAAGAGATAAGGGGACAGTCACCTACAAAGGAGTTCCCATCAGACTGTCAGTGGATTTCTCAAAAGAGACCTTACAGGCAAGAAGGGGCTGGAAAGAGGTATTCCAAGTCATGAAATCCAAAGACCTGCATCCAAGATTGCTCTATCCAGCAAAACTTTCATTTAGAATGGAAGGACAGATAAAGTGCTTCCCAGATAAGATCAAATTCAAGGAGTTCATCATCACCAAGCCCTTATTATATGAAATGTTAAAGGGACTTACCTAAGAAAAAGAAGATAAAAAAGATGAACAGTGAAAGGACAGCAAACTCACAGTTATTAACAACCACGCCTAAAACAAAAGCAAACTAAAAGGACAGCTAGATCAGGAGTGGAAACATAGAAATGAAGATCTCATGGAGGGTTAGCAACAGGAGAGTGGGAGGAGGAGAAGAGGGGAAAGGTACAGAAAATAAGTAGCACAGAAGGTAGGTAGAAAATAGATGGGGGGAGGGCAATAATAGTATGGGAAATATAGAATCCAAAGAACTTGAGACACATGGTCATAAACTAAGGGGGGGAATGGTGGGGAAGGGGGTGTGCAGGGTGGAGGGGAATGAAGGGGGGAATAGAACAACTGTAATGGCATAATCAATAAAATAAAAAATTAAGTAATTATATATGTGTTTTCCTTAAATTTTTTAAATAAAGGAAAATACATTGTGATATCAAAAACTTAAAAAGCTTTTTACATAAGACATATTATTTTATTATAGATGGGTACAAATAATTTGTAGCTGAGAAAGTAAAAGTAGAACTTTAGAGTAGGCTCTGCATTAATGTTGTAATTTAGATGATGATATCAGTATCAGTCACTCTGAGTTTTAAATACACATTAAATAGTCAAGTAAGATAACAGCAGTTTCTCTGTGGAACTGGCACTTGCTACCCCACATTTTCTTTCACTTTATGTTAAACGAAGGAGTGAGAACACTGGGAAAAGACAGTTATGGTGCAAGTGAGCCTTTGGAAGTGATAAGAGAGAAGAATATCAGGATTTAGCAGACACAGACAGGAATTGGTGGCATTCCAGAAAACTGTTATCCACTCTGTAAAACTCCATGGGAAAACCTCTCCCTCTTATACCATGGAGTGCTCCCTCTTCCCTAATCATCTATCTGCTGCTCTTGTCACCTTTTCCTTTCAGCTTCCTAATGTTACTATCATCAGAGGACCTTTCGAGAGCCTGCTGGTTTTGCAGCGAAGAGTATGGGTTTTGAAATAAGGCAGCCCTGAGTTCAAATTCTAGAGTTGTCAATTTCTAGCTGCATGAACTCTTCTGAACCTCCTTTTCCTCCTCTGCAAACTGTAAAAATAATTGAAAGATAGTGGGGGTGAGCATAGGTATACATTATAACAAGTTATACATTGAAAAACCTCAAAAATATTTGTTACCATATTTCCCCCTTACCAAGGAGCTATTTTTACTAGAGCTTGCAACCTACTATGCATATTTCAAGTCAGACAATCTCTGAAACCCAGTAATTTAGAATTGAAGATGGACAATAGAATGCACTGAAATAGTAAGAGCCTTATATTAACATCAAACAGGTATAAACATCAATCACATTTATTTCTGTATTATGAGGTACTTATAGGACTAGGCTGTCCCTGAAAACTCAAATGTAAGTCAAGTTATCAATTAAACTTCAAAATTTTCCCTTCAACAATACCATTTATTTTGTGCCTATCACAACATATGGAGACTTTATATTTAGACAAACTCTTTGGAAATAAATTTCTGTCTCACTCTGTTTGTACAGATGCAACAATTTTAATTTACTTAATTTCATGTAGATGATTTATTCAAACACAGAAGCAATATTTACTTTAAAAGATAATTAATAGAGAATTCATAAGTACTGGTTTTCACTTAACAAGGCACCCCAATATTCAGGAGAAAAATGATAATCTTACCATAAATGAGCACGTTCTAGTGATTGCATCCAAGGCTGTTACTTTCCAGCGTTCTTCAATGTTGCTTGGTATGGGCATATGAATATGAATAGCAAAGAGAACACAAAACAGCCCCAAGCAGAGAGCTTTAAAACCTGTCATATTCCTTTTTTCAGTGTTGTCACAGTGCTCAGATTAAATTATTTCTATTAAAACTAAATAAGAAGTAGCAAAACAAGGGCACACTGAGAACCCTTTCAGGTAATAAGAACTTCTTAATAACTTGAAGCTACTTATCAAGTCAAATATTACAGCCTCAGTAGAAACTTGCACTTACACTGATTCAGAACTCACACACAGTGTCAGTCCATGCTTATTTCATTAGCATGCAATTAAAAATGCTCAGAGTGTTTCCTCACCCTGTGATACCATTATCAGCTCAAAGCAAGTCTGTAGTTGTGACCTAAATCAGAGCTTAAATGAGAGCTATGAATAACTTATGAGTTGACGTTTTGTGATTGGTTGGTCACAATGTTTTGTAAGAAGTTGAAAGAAGTATATACTTTGTTAAAATCCAGGCTAAGGCAATTAGCATGGATTACTAACCATGTTAATAAACCCTTCTTGTTGTGGTGGTGAAGTTTTGGGTCAAGTCATAGAGGGATGTGGGGTCTTGTCTAACTTCCATTATTCATGAAGCTGAAACTTTTTAATAGATAGAAGTAGCACAAGGCTAAGGACAAGTATCCCAGAATGCATTCTGTTTTTAAAGGTTTGCATAGACTTTGTTTATATAGCTATTTGGCGATTCTTTTTTTTTAAATTTTTTTTAATATAAATTTTATTTAGTTACTTTTCAAGTACATTTTTTTAATCTATTTCTCCCATCCCACCCCACCCCCCCGCCCAGTCTCCCCCCTCCCTCCTATTCCCCCCCCCCCCCAGTCCTCATCTCTGTGTCTTTCATACTTGTTCCTCAAAATCCCTCCCCCCTTTTTCCCCTTAAGTTCCCTTCCCTCTCCCCTCTGGTCGCTGCCCACTTGTTCTCTATTTCAGCATCTTTGTTTTTGTTCTGTTTGCTTGTTTGTTTTATTCTTTAGCTTCCTGTCAAAGGTGAGATCATATGGTATTTGTCCTTCAACGCCTGGCCTATTTCACTCAGCATAATCCTTTCCAGTTCCATCCATGTTGTTGCAAAAGATAGTAGCTCCTTCTTTCTCTCTGCTGCATAGAATTCCATTGTGTATGTGTACCACAATTTTTTGATCCATTTGTTTACTGATGGGCACCTAGGTTGCTTCCAACTCTTGGCTATTGTAAATTGTGCTGCTATGAACATTGTGGTGCATAGGTTCTTTGATATTGATGTTTTAGGATTCTTGGGGTATAATCCTAGCAGTGGAATTGCTGGGTCAAAAGGCAGGTCAATTTTTATTTTTCTGAGAAAATTCCATACTGTTTTCCATAATGGTTGTACCAGTCTGCAATCCCACCAACAGTGAACTAAGGTCCCCTTTTCCCCACACCCTCTCCAACATTTGTTGTTTGTTGCTTTGTCTATTATAGCCATCCTGACTGGTGTAAAGTGGTATCTCATTGTGGTTTTAATTTGCATCTCTCTGATAGCTAACGATATTGAGCATCTCTTCATGTGTCTCTGGATATTCTGTATGTCCTCTTTAGAGAAGTGTCTGTTCAAGTCCTTTTCCCATTTTTTAATTGGGTTCGATGTCTTCCTAGAGTGGAGTCGTGTAAGTTCTTTGTATATTTTGGAAATTAAACCTTTGTCTGAGGTATCATTGGCAAATATGTTTTCCCATACAGTTGCTTGCCTTGCTAATTTAATACTGTTTTCTTTAGCCATGCAGAAGCTTTTTATTTTGATGAGATCCCATTTGTTTATTCTTTCCTTTATATTCCTTGCTCTAGGGGACATATCCGTAAAAATGTTGCTGCGTGGAATATCTGAGATTTTCTTGCCAATGTTCTCCTCTAGGACTTTAATGGTGTCATGGCTTATATTTAAGTCTTTTATCCACCTTGAATTTATTTTGGTGTATGGTGTAAGTTGGTGCTCAAGTTTCATTTTTTTGCACGTAGCTGTCCAGTTCTCCCAACACCATTTGCTGAAGAGGCTATCTTTACTCCATTTTATGTTACTGCCCCCTTTGTCGAATATTAATTGACTGTAGAGAGTTGGGTTGATTTCTGAGCTCTCTGTTCTGTTCCATTGGTCTATGTGCCTGTTTTTATGCCAGTACCAGGCTGTTTTGATTACAGTGGCTATGTAATACAGTTTGATATCAGGTATTGTGATCCCTCCTACTTTGTTTTTCTTTCTCAAAAGAGCAGCTGCTATTCGGGCTCGTTTATGATTCCATATAAATTTTTGAAGTGTTTGTTCTATGTCTGTGAAATATGCCATTGGTACTTTAATAGGTATTGCATTGAATCTGTATATTGCTTTGGGTAGTATGGACATTTTGATGATGTTAATTCTTCCAATCCATGAACACGGTATATGTTTCCATTTGTTTGTGTCTTCCCTGATTTCTTTCTTCAGTGCTGTGTAGTTTTCTGCATACAGGTCTTTTACCTCTTTGGTTAGGTTTATTCCCAGATATTTTATTTTTCTTTTTGCTATATCGAATGGGATTTTTTCCTTGATTTCTGCTTCTGCTGATTCATTGTTTGTATACAAAAATGCCTTTGATTTCTGGATATTGACTTTGTATCCTGCTGTTTTGCCAAATTCATTAATTAGTTTGAGCAGTTTTTTTGGTAGAGTCTATAGGATTTTCCATGTACACTATCATGTCATCTGCAAACAGTGACAGTTTTGTTTCCTCCTTTCCTATTTGGATGCCTTTTATTTCCTTTTCCTGCCTGATTGCTGTGGCCAAAACTTCTAATACTATATTGAATAGAAGTGGTGAAAGTGGACATCCTTGTCTTGTTCCTGATCTTAGTGGAAAAGCTTTTAGTTTTTGTCCATTGAGTATGATATTGGCTGTAGGTCTCTCATAAATGGCCTTTATTATATTGAGGAATGTCCCCTCTATTCCCATTTTGCTGAGTGTTTTTATCATAAATGGGTGTTGTACCTTATCGAAAGCTTTTTCTGCGTCTATTGATATGATCATGTGGTTTTTGTCTTTGCTTTTGTGTATGTGATGAATTACATTTACTGTTTTGCGAATGTTGAACCATCCTTGCATCCCTGGGATGAATCCCACTTGGTCATGGTGTATAATCTTTTGGATATATTGTTGGATGCGATTTGCCAATATTTTGTTGAGCATTTTAGTGTCTATGTTCATCAGTGATATTGGCCTGAAGTTTTCTTTCTTTGTTGTATCTCTATCTGGTTTTGGAATTAGGATGATGCTGGCTTCATAAAAGGAGTTTGGGAGTTTTCCATCCTTTTGGATTTTTTGGAATAGTCTGTGAAGAATGGGGGTTAGCTCTTCCTTAAATGCTTTGTAGAATTCTCCTGTGAATCCATCTGGTCCGGGGTTTTTGTGTGATGGGAGTTTTTTGATTACTGCTTCAATTTCTTTTGCTGTTATTGGTCTATTCAGGTGTTCTACTTCTTTTTCATTGAGTTTTGGGAGATTATATTTTTCTAGAAATGTGTCCATTTCCCCTAGGTTCTCAAATTTCTTGGCATACAGTTCTTCATAGTAATTTCTTACAATCCTTTCTATTTCTGTGGTATCAGTTGTAATCTCTCCTCTTTCATTTCTGATTGTGTTTATTTGTGTCCGTTCCCTTCTTTTCTTGATGAGCCTACTTAAAGGCTTGTCTATTTTGTTTATTTTTTCAAAGAACCAACTCCTGGATTCATTGATCTTTAGAATTGTACTTTTAGTCTCTATGTCATTTAGTTCTGCTCTGATCTTAGTTATTTCCTTCCTTCTACTTGCTTTGGGCTGTTTTTGTTGTTGTTCCTCGAGTTCTTGCAGGCGTAGAGTAAGTTCATTTGTTTGAAATGTTTCTGTTTTCTTTAGGTAGGCCTGTATTGCTATAAACTTCCCTCTCAGGACTGCCTCGGCTGTATCCCATAAGTTTTGGGTTGTTGTGAGATCATTTTCATTTGTTTCCAGAAACTTTTTGATTTCTTCCCTAATTTCATTCTTGACCCATTCATTGTTTAATAGCATACCGTTCAGTCTCCATGATTTTGGGTGTTTTGGGTTTTTTCCTTTGGGGTTGGTTTCCAGTTTCAGTCCGTTATGGTCAGAGAAAATGCTTGGTATGATTTCAATATTCTTGAATTTGTTGAGGCTTGTTTTGTGCCCTATCATGTGGTCTATCTTTGAGAATGTTCCATGTGCTTTTGAAAAGAATGTGTATTTAGCTTCTTTGGGGTGAAGAGCTCTGTATATATCAGTTAGGTCCATTTCATCAAGGGTGTTGTTTAATGCCACAATGTCTTTGTTGATATTTTGTTTGGAAGATCTGTCCATTTTTGATAGTGGGGTGTTAAAATCCCCCACTATAATTGTGTTGCTGTCTATATCTTTCTTGAATTCCTCTAAGATTTTCCTTATATATTTTGGTGCTCCTATGTTGGGTGCATATATATTTATGATGTTAATGTCTTCTTGGTGGATTCTTCCCTTGAGTATTATGAAGTGACCTTCTGGGTCACTCTTTATGGCTCTTTTTTTGAAGTCTATTTTGTCTGATATGAGAATTGCTACCCCAGCTTTTTTTTCCTGTCCATTTGCTTGGAAAATTTGTTTCCAGCCTTTCACTTTTAGTCTGTGATGGTCTTTTGTCCTGAGGTGGGTCTCTTGTAGGCAGCATATGTGTGGGTCGTACTTTCTTATCCATGACGCTATTCTGTGTCTTTTGATTGGAGCATTTAATCCATTTACATTTAAGGTTATTATTGATAGGTACTTATTCATTGCCATTTTTGTATCTGTGTTCCTCTCTGTCTGTCTCTTTTCCTTCCTTTCCTTAAAGCAGACCTTTTAGTATTTCTTGTAGAGCTGGCTTGGTGGCAGCAAATTCTTTTAGACTTCTTTTGTCTTGGAAGCTCTTTATTTGGCCTTCTATCTTGATTGAGAGCCTTGCTGGGTAAAGTAGCCTTGGTTGTAGGCCTCTGTTTCTCATTACTTGGAATATTTCTTGCCAATCTCTTCTTGCTTGGAGTGTTTCCATTGAGAAGTCAGTGGCTAACCTTATTGGGACGCCCTTGTATGTTATTTCTTTTTTCTCCCTTGCTGCCTTTAAGATTCTCTCTTTGTCTTGGAATTTTGCCATTTTAATGATGATGTGTCTTGAAGTGGGCCTCTTTGGGTTCCTCTTGAATGGGACTCTGTGTGATTCCTGGATTTGAGTGACTTTTTCTTTTGTCAAATTAGGAAAATTTTCTCTCATTACTCTTTCAAATATGTTTTCTATCCCTTGTTCT